ATACTTCATAAAAGACTTGTATTATTGAAAATGTATTCATGTTTGTAGAACCACATCATCCAAGTATGGCTGGGAAACATCTAATTCAGACGATGTAGCCCCTGTAATCTGATCTTCATTCAGAGGGTTTTGGAGGTTAGCATTTTCTTTTTATTTAATTAAGAATCACAGGCAGTGCCATTAAAGTTCCTGTCCTGGACTTTCCAGAGTAGATACTGTCTAGCATAACTGAGTAGAGGGCTAGGAAATTGTATCAAATGTCTTCTAGTACCTGCCTCTGCCTGATATTATTTTTAGCAGGTTTAGCAGATGCTTAGATGTTTAGCAGATGCTTAGAGCTAAGTGGCATTCTAAATCAGACAGGCTAGTTGCATCACATTTTGGTTCTCCCATTGCACAAATCCTTTCAGGAATTCCCATTGTTCCAAGACACCCCACTAGAAACAAGGTGACCTGGATGTGAGTCTTCACCCATGCCAAAGAATTTGAGGCAAACCCAAAGCAGACTCAGATAGAGAAATAAAGGGGAGGGGGGTTATTTACAAAGGATTTACAAAGGTAGCTAGAGTGAAAGAAAAATAGATAATTTGCCAACATGTGACTTACATGCAGTACCAGGATGCCAATTCAGTCATCAGAACCAAGAGGAGAAAAGTGCCCCCAGGCTCTCATGAGTTCAATTATTTACCCAGTGTGATTGCTTGACCCCAATCCTCACCCCCCTGACCAGGAAATCCAGTTTCAGCATTCTGGGGTTTGTAATTGAAGGCGGTTGTATGCAAACAGGGTGGGGAATGTGGTACCTCCCCTTTCACAACATCACCAAAATGGACTCCTAATTGTTGCTCAGTCAGTAGAATTTTAGTCTCCTCAAGTCTTTAATTACCCATTTTAGAAAAACTGAAGTTATTTGGATTTACTGTTCAGCAGAGCTTGTCACCACTTTCCATGCAGCCTGCTCAGATCTTCACTTATTGTCCCATCATCTTTGAAGTATCACCAGGCATGGTGGCAAGAGAAAGAGAAAACTGGAATATACCACCACACTAGCATTGACATGTTTTGGCTCTAGGACTACTTACAGCTGGTTGGTCTGTTATTCACCCAGCCCTCTGCAAGCTCAGTCTGACTAGGTTGTTAACTCCCCTCCATGTCTTCATTCCATGCATCCATGGCCCCTATCATTGCTCTTAACTTTGGTTAGTTATAAATTTTCATGACCTCAAACTAAAAACTTAAGAGGTCTCAGTCTAACTAAACACAATCTAATAAACAAAGTGGACACTAATAAACAAAGTGAAGGTTATGTGTACAAAGGTTGTATTTAGTATGGTTTAGGAAGGAGAAAAAGGATTTAAATTGATTGCTGAGTTCATCATTTTTGATGTTTTTTGGTTTCTGTGTCCTTAGGATAAAATTGATTTAAATTAAACTTCCTATGCTGCATTGATTTCTCATGGAATTTTGGAGACTTATATTTGAAATGGAATTAAGTCTGCAGAAACAAGTAAGTTAATAGTTATTAACTTACTTAGTAGCTATTGGGAATGCAATTCCTAGTTCTGTAATTTAAAAAAAAATACCTATTTATGCCATGGTAAATATGTTTGATGTCTATAATGCAACAAGGAAAACTGGAGAAAAGTAAGGAACTTATTTTTTTGTTAGAAATGAAAATATCTTATGAAAAATTAATAATGATTTGTTAGAAGCTTTACAACTGCCTGCTCAGATATCAATAGTTCATTATAGCTCTCACATAGGGCAACATGATGAAGTTTCTAAAGACAATGATTTTGTTGAGAGAGCTCTGAGACTCCTAAAACACAGACTGCAGCACTATTTACAACAGCTAGGACATTGAAACAACCTAAATGCCCACTGATAGAGAATTGGATCAAGAAGATGTGGTACATCCACATTCTGAAATACTACTCAACCATAAGGAAAAATGAAACACTTCCATTTACAGCAAAATGGAAGGAGTTTGAGGGAATTATGTGTAGTAAAGCAAGTCAGAATGACAAAGACAAATGTTGAACATTTATATAGCAGATGACTCAATAAAGCAAAAAAACTTATAAAACTAGTGGACACTAATAAACAAAGTGAAGTTTCTGAGGTTAAGAGGGAGAGGAGAAGGAAAAGGGGTCAAAAGGGTATCAGGGATGGTGGTGGGGGGGAAAAAGACACAGCAGAATCCAAAGTTAGAAGTTCTGTCTTTAGGGAAAAAAGAAACTGCTCATTTTTAAACATATGCTTCACAAAAGGAAATAGGAAGATGGATTGAAAAGGTGAGCGAAAGAAATTGGACTAGACCTAGGAATTACCTAACAAAAGAATTTTTTTAATTTTTTTAAAGATTTATTTATTGATGCATAGAAGAACTGGGGTATAGGCCAGAGGTATGGAGGGTGAGAGGATTCACCAGAGACAGAGTGGGGAACAGAACAGGCAGACTGATTGAGACACACTGCTGAGGGGAACAGCGGGTGAGTCAGGAGAGGTCTGCTGTGCCATGGGTAGCTCCCTGGCCAGGGATCGAACTCATGCTGCAGTGGCTGTGGATAGCTTCATAGGTTGCGTCTTAACCCCTTGCACCACCAGGAAGGCCCAATGAAAGAATTCTTAAACCCGGTCCCTGTTTACTTAGTGTTGTGTCATCAACAAATTATCTGAGTAAAAGATAATTTTAAAGGGTCTTACTATGCTTGGTAAAAGATAAACAACTCAAAACATTAAAGAGATGTGCTATTTGGCAGCAATTTCTTTACAAATAATGCCCAAAATAAGCTCATGAAGTTCTTGCCAACTACCTTTACCAGGAATCTGATGACATTTGGATTTCATAGAATTAAATGACAGTGGGGGGTAAGAGATCTTGTCTAGTTATGGTGTGTTTGATGCATGGATGGACTGAAGTTTTTTCCTTATCAAAGTCAATGCTCAGATAATGGTGCAGATGTTTCTCTTGATAAATATAATTCCCATGTTGGAACAGTAGTGCGCATGAAATCACACAGATGGAGTCATTTTATTTCTACTGTCATTCAGGAATTATACATGTTTATTGATCCCAGAAGGCATAGTCCTCTGGAAAATAGAACTAATAACTCAAACTCTAAAAAAATTCATTGGCTAATAAGCTTCTGTGTGAAGACTTGAGCTTTGCCAGTAGAGACTTTTGCCAAAGGAGACCCCTACACCAATAGAGACCCCTACAAGGAAGCACAGAATCTCTCCCTTTGAACCTATGCTAGGCGGGCCTTAAATTTGGATCTAAGACCATGTCCTGTATCTGATTTAACTGACTTCATTCTAATCATGTGCAATATTTAGAAGAATTTCTCTCCTCCCTGGAAAAGGCAAAAGACCAGGTAGCACCTGAGGAAGTCTGCCACCCCCATTGACTGAAAGACTCATCTACAGAAAAGCGTTCTGTTGGGAAGACGCAGACACCACACTCAGAGAGACCCCTGAAGTGCTGAGGATCATCCAATGACTGTCAAAGGGAAACAAAATTCAGTTGTGTCTGTGCTTCCAATAGGAACCCTTCAGGTAAGGGGTAGGGAGAAACCCATAATGCATTTCAGGGGCACTCCCTTGTTTGATCCATTGGCAATTGGCAATTGACAGCTCTTAGATTTCATCACTAGTTCAAAATTACAGAATTGTTCCTATTTAAAGACATAATTCTGTATCTATGCTAAAGAGAGAAAAGAATAGCATAGGAAAAAATTATCTAAATAATAACTGACATTTACATAGGGAGATTGCAGAAGACAAGGATCAGATTCCCTTCAGCTCCAGATTAGATAGAGAAATGACTGTTGTTCATAAATAATTATGAACTATTTTAATAGTATAGCTATAAATTTATGCCTATGCAAAAAAAAAAGTAAGATAGATTGGTTTGTCCTCAGGACTTAAATCAGGACTCATGTTAGACCCTTGTTTTCTTCTATTTATTTTATGGTTTTGGGTCTTACATCCATGTCATCAAGTCATTTTGTGTTGTTTTTTGTGTAAGGTATGAGGCGGTAGTCTAGTTTCATTCTTTTGCATGTGGTAGTCCAGTTTTCCTAGCACCATTTATTGAAGACTTCCCTTTCTCCAATATATACTCTTAGTTCCTTTGTTGCAAATTAACTGTCCATAAATGTATGGGTTTATTTTTGTTCTCTAAATTTCATTCCACTGGTCAGGGTGCTGTTTTGTTGCAGTACCATATATATTTCAGTAATGTTTGTTCTATATCTTTGAGTAATGCCATTGACACTCTGACAAGGATTACACTGAATCTATATATGGCTTTGAGTAAGATGACATTTTGACAATGTCAGTTTTTGCAGTCCATGAGCAGGGAATATCTTTCCATTTTTTTGAGTATTCTTCTATTTCTTTTAACAGTGTCTTACAGTTTTCATTGTGTAGATCCTTCACCTACTTTGTTAAGTTTACTCCTAAACTGTCCTTGTTGATAAAGTTGTAAATGGGATATTAATTTCTTCCTCTTTAAGCTCATTGTTTGCATATAGCATAACAACAGATTTTTGTACACTGATTTCTTTCCTAACCTGCCATTTAGCCAAACTGAATTATTATTTTAATTGTCAGAATAGTTTTGACTATTGAGGGTCTTTTGTGGTTCCATACAAATTTCAGTAACATTTGTTCTATTTCTTTGAAGAATGCTGTTGGAGCCTTGATAAGCATTGCATTGAATCTATATATTGCTTTTGGTAAGATGGCTATTTCAACAATGTTAAATCTTCTAATCCATGAGCAAAGAGTAGCTTTCCATTTCTTTTCTTTTTTTTTATAAACCATCCTTTTTTAAAAAAGATTTATTTATTTATTTATTTATTTATTTTTATGGAGGCATGTTTTATTTATTTATTTGTTTGTTTGTTTGTTTGTTTTGTTTATACATGCACTGGTACAGTCAGAAGCGCGGGAGGATGAGAGAATTCACCAGAGCCAGAGCGGGGAGCAGAGCAGGCAGAAGGACCGAAGTACACTGCTGAGGGGAGCAGCGGCGGCAAGAGAGGTCTGCGCCATGTGGGACCCTCCTCTGGTGGCCGGGGAGCAGCCGGGATCGAACCGGCGCCGCAGAGGCCGCGGGCGGCTTCGCAACCCAGCGCTCAACTGCTGCACCACCGGGGAGGCCCAAGATTTATTTATTTTTATACAAGAACTGGGGTACAGGTCAGAGGCATGGGAGGGTGAGAGGATTCATCTGAGACAGAGCGGGGAGCAGAACAGGAAGACTGACCGAAATACACTACTGAGGGGAGCAGCGGGTGAGACAGGAGAGGTCTGCCCCTCCATGTGGGACCCTTGCCGGCGGGCGGGGACTGAACTGGGGCTGCAGAGGCCGCAGACAGCTTCACATCGCGGCGCTTAACCACCTGTGCCACCAGACGAGGCCCCAGCTTTCCATTTCTTTATGTCCATTTCTTATTTTTCTTTTATTTTACTAGTATCTTTTAGTTTTCATTTTATAGGTCTTTCACCTTCTTTGTTAATCCATTCCTACACAATGAAATATTTTACTTCTTTCCTAATTTGGATTCCTTTATTTTGCCTAATTGCTGTAATTAAGACTTCTAATACTATAGCAGTGATGAAAGTTGACATCCTTGTCTTGCACCAAATCTTAAAGGAAAAGCTTTCACTCTTTCGCTATTATGTATGCTGTTAGTTGTGGTTTTGTTATATATGGCCTTTATTATTTTGATTTTTATTCCATCTATTCCAATCTTTTGAGGGTTTTGTTACAAATAGAGATTGAATCTTACCAAATATTTTCTCTGTACCTATCAAGGTAGTCATATGTTTGTTGATGTGCTAAATTACGTTGATTGATTTTTGGATGTGGAACCATCTGATGTCCATTGAATAAATCACACTTGGTCATGATGATGATCCTTTTGATGTATTGCTGAAGTTGGCTTGCTAACATTTTGTTGAGGGTTTTTGTATTTATGTTCATCAAAGATACTGGTCTGCAATTTGTGTGTGATATCATTCTCAGGTTTCCTTACCAAAATGACAGTGGCTTCAAATTGAAGTATTTCTTCTTTCCCAATATTTTAAATTGAAATATTAATTCATCTTTGAAGGTTTGGTAGAACTCTGTAGTGAAACTTTCTGGGCCTTTACCTTTGTTTTTTGGGAGATGTTTTATTATTGTTTCATTTTCCTTGCTTGTAATACATTTGTTTATATTTTCTATTTCTTCTTGATTCAGTCTTGGAAGGGTGCATATTTCTAAGAATTTTCCATTTCATCTAGGTTATTCAGTATGCTTGCATATAGATGTATATAGTAATTTCTTTTTACCCCTGCTTTCTAAAATGCCTGTTATAAATCTCTTTCAGTTCATATTCTATTTACTATAGTTTTTTCTCCTTTTCTTTGAGTTTAGTTACATATTCATCTATTTTGTTGAATTTTTCTAAGAATCAGCTTTTGGTTTTATTGATACTTTGTACTGTCTTTTTTATTTCTATTTTATTTCTGCTCTAATATGTATTATTTCCTTCCCTCTGTCTTTTGATTTCATTTATTCTTCCTCTTCTAATACCTTAAAGTAAGACATGAGTTTGCTAATTTTAACTTTTCCATGTTTTTTGATGTTGGCCTGTACTGCTATATAATTCCTTGTTTAGTAGGGCTTTTGTTACTTCCCATTAGTTCTGGAAGGTTGTGTCTCTGAAAAGGTGTGAACCTATACCCCTAAACCAGTGTTACCTCAATGAAAAAATTGTACAGTATTTTTTAAAGCTGTTTTGAATTCTTTATCTGTTAGCTCCAATATATTAGGTCCAAATTCAAAAAGAATTTCTATTGTCTGCATTTTCCTGTGTGGAGAATACTATCCTGTTGGTTGAATTTTTTCTTCTTTCTCTCTCTCTGTCTCTGTCTTGCTTAGAAAATGGGCATCTTAATATTTTATTGCAACTGTATATACTAGTTCTCCCACCAAAAGTCCTGGTTCTCTGTGCTGGTTTGTTTTTGTTTTTGTTTTTGTTTTGTTTTGTTTTGTTTTGTTTTTTTGGTTTGGGGCCTCTTTATGTGTTAATTAAAGTCTATTTCCCCACTAATCTGGAGTCTCTGAGATTTCTAAATTCTCAGTGCTAAAAATCACTGATATGTTTAGAGTAACAAATAAGGCACTCATACACAGCTTTAGTATAGACACTTCTAATATTTTATCTCTGAAATTTATAACAACCCTTGAGACAGAAAATATTAATGCCATACTTAAGTAAAATATGTCCTGTTCTTACGGACGTGAAGTCCGGGTATTCACTGGTAAATGGAAATTGAACTAAACTCCCACAGTTCTTTCTATTGAATCTGTAAGAAAATAACTAACCAAGCATTTCTCTTACTTCAGAAACCTTCAGTGTCTTCCACTTACCTCTGAGGTAAAGACAAAGTAATTTAATATGTAATTTAGAGTAATGTCCCATTGATCTCAACTTCCATTTCCAACTTTCTTTTCCTCCTATTAAAGAAATTCATAATGTGTCCTCTGTCTCAGGGTATCTCAAATCTGACAGACACTGAGTGTTATTTGGAGCTTCTACAACATACTGATGCTCAGGATTCATCTGTTAATATCGATTCACAGTCTTCATAGTGGAATGGTGAATATTCAGGCTTTAAAATTTCTTCCGTTGATTCTAATATTTATCTAGTTCTTTAAACCACTAGAGATTAAAACACTTGTTGAATTATCATTTCCAAATGTTTTCTTCTTGTTCTGCTTGATGTCCTGTCCCTTTCCAACTTACCTTTCACATATCTTCTCTATCTTAAAATTTATAATTGCACATATTTTCTTTTTTCCTCCTCATACTTCTTGACCCATTAGATCAAACTGTCCTAAGCCTCCTGCTGAGAGAAGATCTACTGAGTAGTACTTGCAAGTCTTCTCTCATGACCTACTTTACAGCCTCCAGGGAGGACAAAGAATAACTTTGTGTCTTATCTACCCGGAGCTATCTATACTATCCCATCAAGCTTCTCACTCTCATATCAATAAATGTGACAGTGTTGGATGGAGATGGGTGGTTAGAAAGGAAAGTGAATAAGCCCATTTTGGTTCACTTCCTGTTATTCGTCTATATGAGGTAGGTCAAGTGGGGAGCCTTTGGAGGTAGCCCTGGTGTATAACCTTGCTGTGAATTGCTGCAGATTGATCCTGATAGAAGTAACTCTTCCTACTTTTCTGAAGAAAACAGTGAGATTCATGTTTATTCTAAAAGCAGTCGGTCTCTATGGATTGACTTAAAAGTTTTGAGAAGGCAATCAACTCTTTCTCTTGTGTTCACAGAATACTTTTTGTGGCCTTTCTCTCACACCTTTAGGGCAGCCTTCTGTTGACATGATATTTCTTGCTGAATTATAGGGGTTGGGGAATAATGGAGGGAACATTCCACCATCAGTAGGAATCTAAGATTTTGGAGTAGTTCCTTAATAAGTAAGACGCTTTCTAAAATGGGCCCTGGATTTTATTTGTCTGTCCATTGGAAATGCACATTGTACCCTGTGCTATTGTTGCAAACATCTAAATGTTTTTTCCCACAGACTCAATCAAATGTCTCTCTTCTCACCATGGATCAAAGCTATTTTTGTCATCTTGTTCTTTACTCTCTATTCTGGTGAGTTAATTTTTCAGTCCTGGGTATAGCCCTTTGTATATTCCAAAATGCAGGGAATTTCCATACTGTAACTTAGGGGTGAAGTAGTTGTATTGTTAGGTTGATACTTCTTAATTGGTAAGATGTCACAAAGGTAGGTTATAAATTCTTGTAAAGTATTTCATCATTCAATTACTTTTCCTTATTTCCCACATTAGTGAAGTCAGAGTGGTAAGTGAGAATGGGCAGTAAGCCTTAGCTCTCTCTTCACCTATAACTCAAGAACTTTTACTAAATTCTTTTTTCCTTTTGGGATCTAGATTCCACTGTTGTTAATGCAAAGTATGGGTAGGAATGATTTCTTCTATATCTCGACTTTCTATGAAAATTTAATTTTGTTTTCTAGTTATCAGCTCTGAGTCCCTGATCAAGGACTTGTGTAAGGAAAGAACTTGGTCAGACATCAGTTGACCAGTTATCTTCGTTAAAACTGCAGATGGCCATAATTTTGGGGTAAAAAAAAAAGAATTTTTTCATATTTAATAACTTCAGACCAGGCTTCCATCAAAATGAAGTGTCTCAAAAATTGATTTCTACAAGCAGGGTTTTAGGAGTTACTATAGAATAATATGACCATTTTTCATTGAACTATACTTATTTGGGGATTATGTTTTTCTATGATTTGAATATATTTGGGAATGTATCTTTTGTTAGTGCCTGAAATTTTTTTACTTCATTAATTGCAGTTCTTTGAGTAGTAATTTGCATGAATTTCTTCAACCAGTGTGTGTATAGGTTTCTTATCTTTTCAAACTATTCTTTGGTTGCAGAAACAGCTCTTTTTAGGCCATCAAATTACAGAGCTTTGGTGAGTTACTCTTAAATTCATTTTGGAAGTTGAAGTATACATTTTTAACCATTTTCGGTTTTTTAAGTCACAACAAAATTAAAGTGTACAAAACTCTTCAGAAGTATACTAAAGTCATCAAAATATATGTATGCATGTATTAGTGTTATACCATGATCAAGAAACAGAATCTAGGGCCTCCCCAGTGGTGCAGCGGTTGAGCGCTGGGCTGCGAAGCTGCCCACAGTCTCTGCAGTGCCGGTTTGATCCCCGGTCGCCAGGCGAGGGTCCCACATGGCACACAGACCTCTCCTGCCATGCCCGCTGCTCCCCTTAGCGGTGTGCTTCGGTCCTTCTGCCTGTTCTGTTCCCTGCTCTGGCTCTGGTGAATTCTCTCACCCTCCTGTGCTTCTGACTGTACCCAGTGCTCGTATAAATAAATAAATCTTAAAAAAAAAAAAAAAACAGAATCTAGGAAGCAAAACCATTGAGCTTTATCTATGTGAGTGACAATGAATGTATTTATCCAATTAACCCAAAATTCAAATCCTGGTAATTATCTGTTATACACATAACTGAGAGATGTAAAAATGTATTTATAGTAGAATTATCCATTCTAACAAAAGGAAAAAAATACTACCCCAATTATCAATTTGTAGGAGTCTAAATAGTAAATGTTTATTCTACCTAGTGAAATAGTTCTCACTTCAAAGAGATGAAAATACATGTACTACAGCTCTGAACATCAGTATATATAAAGGTCACAAAAAAGAAAGCATGTAAGAATATATATAGTATAATTTTCTTTCTGTAAATTGTCAAGTTATCCAAACCTATATAAAATATATAAATGCAGTGAATGTCTATGTTGACAGGTAGTGACATTAGAGAGGAAGGTAGGGAATGATGATGCATTGAAACTTCAGTTTCAGTGACATTCTCTCATATGGCAGAGGAATCAGAAAGCTATGACCTGGAAGGAGAAGATTGTGGGGGAGGGGTAGAGAAGTTGATTCACCTTATAAAAACACATTCAACCATTTGCATGTTCCTATTCCAAATAAAAGGTTTGTACTAAAATACGGATAACATTTTATCATTTACTGGAATGGAATAACGTAAGTGTGTGTCTCTAAACCTAATGATGAATTTTATATATTTATACATGGTATATATCAGTATATATTGTATATATTTTGTATGTATGACATCTCATATTCAGAGTTAAGAATGTTATATCCAGGGCCTCCCCTGGTGGTGCAGGCGGTTGAACACCGCGCTGTGAAGCTGTCCGTAGCATCTCTAGTGCCGGTTCGATCCCGGCCGGCCAGGGAGGGTCCCACATGGCACGGCAGACCTCTCCTATCGCACCTGCTGCTCCCCTCAGCAGTGTATTTCAGTCAGTCTGCCTGTTCTGCTCCCCACTCTGTCTTTGGTGAATCCTTTCACCCTCCCGCATATCTGGCCTGTACCCTGGTTCTTGTATAAATAAATAAATCTTTAGGGAAAAAAAAGAATGTTATATCCAAATACCCATTGTCTAATAAAAATATATTGCCCGTCTATATTTTACAGCCAATCTGCAGAGAAGACAGTTATCCATATATGTGCTCAAAAAAATGTTTTCCCTTGTGTGCCACCAATGGCCTTACTTACTGCAATAGATGTATTTTCTGCATTGCAATCAGGTAAGAACACAATGGTAAATATTTCTTTTCCAGAGTAGTGGAAAACATCATCACAAAATAATAAGAAAACTCATTTGCTGATAATCTAGGCACAGCATATACAAAAGTAATTCTAATGTTTCTCTAAAGGCCAAGGAAACACACTTGTACTGTTCCTTAAAATTCTTCCAAAAGCAAGACTCTGTTGATTTACCAGACCTATCTGGTTTATCAGCATAACCATGTTCAGCAAATAAACAAAAGAATTTAACAATTTTGTTGATTATGGATTGCTAATGGCAGACTAGCAGCTGTTAAGATGTTATTTCGAAGCTCTCCTACTCAGGAGTAGATCTAGCTGGTAAAAATCATGAGAATCATCCTTGCGGACACAGGAAGCACAGGAGGCATAATTGAGCAAGGGCCGCTCTCAGAGCTACACTCTGAAGTCGGCCAGGATGGGCTCACTAATTCTACCAAGGGCCTCGTGTAATTGTCAGCTTTATCCCCTGAAACCAAGATGGCCTTTCAGATCTTCCTCAGAGGACATCTCCATCCAAATTTTCTTCCTTTTTCCTTCTCTCCAAAGGAGTTTTCTGCCTGAGGCATTGCCAGCCCTTTCTGCCCCTCCCCATTTCCTTTTTTCTTCCCTCTCACAAAGCTGCCAATTTATTCCCAAAAATGATTCTGCCTCTTGGAAGATCTGGAATAGCGCAATCCCTAATGTCCCCCTTTCTACGATTTAGTCTGAAGACTAAGTCTGGAGTGAGCCAAAAGGAAGTATCAGGTAGCCCTACAGTGGGGGATATTTACAGGGCTAGGCATGGGTCCAGTTACATGTGGAAGTGAAGCCAAGCCTTTCTAACATGTCCCAAGTTCAAAGCCTCCATTTAGAAGCATTTTGTAACTGCCCAAAGATCTTAATGTGCTCTTTTATTTATCTTTTTTTGTAAGATTTATTTATTTTGATACAAGAAGCGGGGTACAGGCCAGAAGCTTGGGGGGTGAGAGGATTCACCAGAGACAGAGCAGGGAACAGAACAGGCAGACTGACAAAATACATTGCTGAGGGGAGCAGCGGTCGAGACAGGAGAGGTCTGCCGTGCCATGTGGGCATCTCTGCGGCCCATGGGGATCAAACCGGCACTGCAGAGGCTGTGGACAGCTTCACAGTGCTGCGCTTAACTGCCTGCACCACCAGGGAGACCCTTAATGTGTTCTTTTAATAATTCCTTTCTTTCTTGTTGACTCTTTCTACAGAAAAAACGGTGGCACATTTACTTTTGCTTATTATGGTACATGCTGACCTTTTGCTGGAGCTACACATTCATATATGATCCAATTTTGCAGTAAATTCTATTTCACAGTCAAGGTCTTTTATTCTTAGAAGTCTAGTGAATCCTATAGGATACAAGGTTAAATACAGGGCATTCCAAGTTCTTTCCAACTTTAAGATCCCTTGATTTTAGTATTTCTGTTCTCTATGTTCAATTCTTCAATGACAGATTGAAAAATTGGTATCTTAATTATATATTTCATAATGTAAAACCTAAATTGTTTTAAAATCTTAACAGTTTTGCTCAATAAAATATTAAATGATATCATACTTATTTAAATTTCCCTTGTCTACTTGGTTGGGTAAAGGGTTAAGATATATGCATATTTTTGATACCTATAATCAAAGAGATAATTTGCAAAGGTGACAGATATTACATTACTTGTGTGTTCATAAGAAGTACAGATAACTTGAATTTTCTCTGTTCTTAAGATTCAGAAACTTCAGGAGAGGTTTCTGGGAAATTAAAAATCTAATAAACTCTCCTGGTTAATATTGTGATGATGGTGATGGACTTGTCACAGCCTAGGATGTCAATAAATGAAACAATTACACAACCTGTAGTTATTAAGTTATTAATACTTAAGAAATACATTAAGGGGCCTCCCCTGGTGGCACAAGCGGTTGAACGCAGTGCTGTGAAGCGGTCCACAGCCTCTACAGTGTGGCTTCTATCCTGGCCAGCCAGCGAGAATCCCACATGGCCCAGCAGACACCTCCTGTCTCGCCCGCTGCTCCCCCCAGCAGTGTATTTCATCCATCTGCCTGTTCTGTTCCCCGCTGTGTCTCTGGTGAATCCTCTCACCCCCCCCCCCACGCATCTTGCCTATATCCCAGTTCTTGTATGCATAAATAAATAAATCTTAAAAAAAAAAAGAAATACGTTAAGTCTTAAGCAATATAAGACTTAAGCTACTTGGTAAAATGTGTTATTTGTTTTTCATTTGTGTACAAATCGGTTTAGAGACACATGGGTAATCCTGGGATGGCAGGCAGTACTGCCTTCTTTGACCTAGGACTTTCTATATTACATCAAAGCCAGATGCTTCTCCATTAGACTCCATCTTTCATTCACAATAGGCAGACTTTAACTGAGTGCACTGAAGGCTCATCCAAACCTTGAACATAATAACAAAAATGTATACTATTGGGTAACAACTGGAAATCTGTGGTGTACACTATTGCCAAGCATGTTGTTCTTAGAGTAATCAATGTAGCACCATTAAATCATTTAGCAACTCTGACATCTCTTTTTTTATTTTTAAGATTTTTTTTAAAGATTTTTTTATTTTTTTATTTATTTATACAAGCACTGGGTACAGTCAGAAGTGCGGGAGGGTAAGAGAATTCACCAGAGCCAGAGCAGGGAGCAGAACAGGCAGACTGATGAAGTACACTGCTGAGGGGAGCAGCAGGCGGCAGGAGAGGTCTGCGCGCCATGTGGGACCCTTCTGCGGTGGCCGGGGAGCAGCCGGGGATTGAACCGGCACTGCAGAGGCTGCGGGCATTTTGTAACCCAGCGCTCAACCGCTGCGTCACCAGGGAGGCCCTCTGACATCTCTTTTAAGGGATGGGTTCAGAAGAATGTTAATTTTTGGAAAGCAACATTATAAAAGTGACTTTTTACCAATTGCATAATCATTTTTTATTCAATGAGTTTGTGAAAAAATTCTTCAGTAAATACTGGTACATTCACATATGTGTTCTTTTCTTTCAATTCCACATAAATGAAGGCTACTATTGTGTCAGGTCCTACAACACATGCTAGAAGTATGATGGTAAGTAAAAGCAGAGATAACCATTGTTCTGCAGGAATTTAAATGTATTGTTTAAAGTTTCTTGCTTTGATTCTCCTTTGCGTTCTAGATAAGTACTTTAGAAAGCTATTTCACCTCATCAGGTTTCCAGGCAGTTACTATCTTCTCCTCTGTTCTTACTTCTGGGCCCAACAGATCAAATTGTCCCAAAACTCCTGCTGAGAAGAAATCTACTCGGACATCTTCGTGATGGGGGCCCAGATTACCTCAGAGTCTTATCTGTGGGACCATCCAGCTCACCTCATATAGCTCTTTACCAACAGGCCATTCATGGAGACTCCTCAGACTTCAGTCAGGTGGAGGTTCAAGAAGAAAGGGCAAACACAATAGGCAGTGTCTGCAAAGCTCTAGCCCCCACTCTCCACTGCCCTCTGGGTCAGGTAGGTCAGGAGGGCAATGTGTGGAGCGGGTCCTGGGGCATAGCCCTGGGGCTGTATCAGGTCAGTCCTTCCTGAAATAGCCATTTTTATTTTCTGAGGAAAAACTGAGACTCTGATGTGTGTCCTTCCTTAGACAGAGCCTTGCTTCTTGCAGGCTGGACCAAGGAGGGGCAAGTGAGCAGCTCCTTCTTAATGAGCAAAGAGAACTTCTCTTGCCTTCTCCCAAGTCTCTATGAGGCCTTCTGTTCATGTGTATTTGTTAATGATCCTGAGAGGTGGTGGGGGGGCGGTGAGCAAAGAGGGAGGCTCACTATTTTCAGGATCTAGGGCAATGGTGTATTTTCTCCACCTGTGAGAAACTTTCATTTGGAAACAGGCTGTTTGTGCCTGGACATGTTATACATATTCTTTGGTTTCCTTCCACAGAACGTGGTAAGATGTCCCTCGCGTCTTCATGGATCAAAATGACTTTTGTCCTTGCCTTGGTATCTCCTCTTCAATCTGGTGAGTCAGTTTTTCAGTGCTGGGTGAAGCATTTCACACATCATAGACAAGGCAGGAAACAACTGTTGTAATCTCAAAATGGAGGTGCTTGTGTTATTGGCTTTGTCGTCCTGAACCTGACAAAGTGAAATGACATGTCACAGGTGATTTTTTTAATTTCCTCTGCTAGTGGTGCAGAGGCGGGTTAGAAAGAGCAATTCCACTTGCTCATTTGGTTCACCTCTGACTAATGACATTTACCATGATTTTTTTCCTTCTTAGAAGTCATGATTGCTAAATTTAGAGTACGGAGTAAGGCTGTCTTCCAGATCTAACATTCCTTCACAATCAGATCTGTTTGCCAGTTCTGAGTCCACTAAATCAAGACTTTGTAGAAGGAGAGAACTCCTTGATGCCTATGCTGACCATTTATGTTTCTGAAAGCCCAATGTGGCCCATGAATTCAGAGAAAAATAGCCGTAATGTATTGGAGATATATATATATATATATATATATATATATATATATTAGAGCTGAATACTAGTTACATATTAATTAATTCATATTTAGTGACTTATCCAAGGTATGTTAAGTGGCATTAAGCAAGGCATTGTTTTCTCTGACTGCATGTCTCAATTATAAAAATGAAAAATAATATGATGGTATCATAACAGGAAGATTTGTTGATTATTGAACATTACATAAAATGATTATTCATAGAATGAGATTAATTGGAAAATATGGTTCCATATGTAGAGTTATTTTGTGAACTTACTGTTTTGATACTACCACAAAAGGCTCACCTCATTGTTTGGCAGGTCTTGACAAGGCAGTTTGCACAGTATATTCTATTAAACAATGTGGATACTTTGCACCCAAAACTCTGATTGTTTTCCCTTTTCTCAATTTTAACCTTTCTTTTGTATGTTGGTTGCAGGCCTGAATTGTCGTTCACCTCACTCGGTAAGTTCATACTGATCAATTTGGGAACTGAAAACAGTGAACTTCTAATGTTTTATATTGTAAATTTCAATAACAAATTTCACCAAATGAAAGGTACAACTGAATGACCTTTTAAGAATAAAAAACAATTCAAAAGAAAAAGCTTTTACTTATACTACATTTTACTGTTTTGCTAATTTCAAGACAGAATCTTGACAGTTATATGAAAACAACTGGTATTACAGATATGGTAAAAATATCCCAGTCTTCAAGAACATTGTTATTGGACATAAACTTTGTTAGATATAAACACCTGGCATAGGCTAAAGGTTTTTTTGAAGTATTTAGAATGGCTTATTCTAGCAAAACAAGAGAATTTAAAGAAACAACTTTCCACTTAAGATGAAAAAAATAATAATTTCCACATCTTTAAAGAGTGGAATTTTATATACAAGTGAAGAAAATGAACTGCAGTTCTAAACTTGTCAGTAAATAAAGGTTGAAAGACATTTCAAAAACAGATCATGTAAAAATGCACACAATATTGTTTCTGTAAGTTACAAACACTGCCATCACTCAAATTACATGTTCTACTTGGTTATGAACATGTATGCAAAAACCCATATATATGCACATTTATACGAATTCCCCCATATATGAACACGCAATTGTGGTGATAGTATGAAACTATCATACTATCTAGTAATGAAACCTTTGAGAGAGGCAAACAACTCCGTTTTATTATTTTTTACAGTAAGAAATAATGAGGGAAATAGGACCTATTTGATTTGACGAATGAGGAGCAGTGGGGGCAAAGTAGCTAAATTATGAAAACCCATTGATCCACTTGTATATCTTTTAAATAATAATACAGCGTTTATAAAATTATATAAGTAATATTATAGATCTAACTAGGTTGTGTGTTTCTTGATGGTTATTTTTGAACGTCAATAAAATATATGTAGATGCATGACACTTTGTATTAAGAATGTTTTCTTCAAAATGCTTATTATCTGATAAATTTTATCTTGTTTGTTTATGTCTAGATCATAGACTGCAAAGCGTTTAAAAATGATTATTCAATTTGCAACATATTGCCTGACCCAGTCTGCGCGACTGATCGCAAAACTTACTCGAATATATGCGTTTTCTGCAGTGAAAAGTTGTAAGTACACAAGCATAAATTTTGCTTTTCCAAAGTAATGGGGAAACTATCACAAAATGATAGCCAAAGTCTTGTTTCTGATAACCTGTGCACTGTACACATGGGAAATAATTGTTCTAGCTCTATAAGAGTCACAGAAGCACACTTGTAGCTTTCCCTGAAGTTCTCATTACTAAAAGGCATTTTGTTTTTAACCTCTCAATATAACTCAGTTGAATATCTTTCAGAGGTATGGATCAGTTAATTTAATTATCATGAATTACTAGTGGCAGATTAGTGATCAATACAATGCAATCCCACAGTCAAAATACTGAATGTTATTCTCCATGATGTGGCTCCCCACTACAAGGTACATTAAAGTGCAAGAACCCTTAGTGATTACAGAAATCTGAAATCCATCAAAATGGGCTCATTTATGCTAGGTAGGATCTCCTCTGATGATCCACTGTGTCTTCTGCACTTCATGACAGACTCCAAACCTTCTTTATACAAGGAGCAGGGAATTCTAGGGCACTTCCACTCAAACGCCCTTCCTGCAGATTTCATGTTGTAGGACTTTACTTTCTGAACTTTCAGCCATGCTCTCTAGCTCCCCATTTTCTCTTGCAAGTGTCTCTCCTCATTTAATCCCCAAATTTGTTTTCTACTTCTAGAGAACCACTAATACAATCTCTAATCCTCTCCTTTTTCAATGTCGTTGGGGTTCCAAGACTGAGTCAGAACTGAGCTTGTGGAAGCAGAGCCCAGCTTGTCTCATTGTCCCATATTCAAATCCTCCTCATTAGCTTCAAGTGATTTTGAATGTCCCTTAACTTCTTTTTCTTTCTCTTTCTTTCATTACAGACTAAACAAAGGAATATTTGAATTTCGTCATTATGGTTCATGTGTCAGTGCCTGATCTAGGCATTCCTATGATTTATTACTATCCTATTGTGCAGTAGAATCTACAATCAAAATCTTCTCAGCCTGGTCTTTAAATTCCTAGATGATCAGGCAACCCTTTCTAAGATACACACGATGTGCCACAAGATGACAAAGAATATTTCCAACTCTAACAATCTGTGATTAAAAGATTTTTATTCTCTATGTTCAATTATTCAATGACCCTATCTTAATGGTGTGTTTTAATAAAAGCTAATTTACAAGCATAAATTTGTCCATCAATAAAATCTTCAATAATATCATCTCTTTGCCCAAGTGAATGACTGGCTTAATAAGAGTAGTTTGTTTGATTGTTTTTAGTTCTCCTAGATTAATTTTATTTTCCCTTGAATATAGATAAGATTTTGATTTTGTAAACAAGTTCCTGCTTTATAAAAGATGAGTTCTTATTTTAAGGTTTTTGTAATTAAAGAAAATATCCTAGTCTGTTTCATGAAATCAATATACCTTTTTTCCTGTCCCTGCCATCCCTTTTCTTCCCTTGTCCCTTTCTGCTCCCTCTCTTTTAACCTCAGACCATCAAGTGATCAGTGATGTCCCTGCATTTTGAATGTTTTATATTATCCAATTGAATACTGTGTAACTGTATATTAATATTAAAATTATATTGATTATATAAAAACAATATATTAATTATATTAATATTCTGACTTGCTTTAATACATACAGTTCTCTCAAACTCTGCACATTTTGCTTAAAAGGACTGTATTTCTTTTGTATTTCTTTCTTTATGGCCACATAGTACTTCATTGCAAGGTTATACCGCATATTCCTGATCCAGTCATCTGTGAACGGGTATTTAGGCTGCTTCCAAGTTCCAGCTATTGCAAATAATGCTTCTATGAACATAGTGGGCCATATGGATTATTGCATAGATAGTTTCATATTCTCTAGATATATGCCTAGAAGTAGGAATGCTGGGTTGAATGATATTTCAATTTTTAGATTTTTAAGATAAATTCACATTGCTTTCCATAATGGTAGCACTGGTTTACATTCCCACCATAATTTAATAGGAATCCCATTTTTCTGAATTCTTTCCAACACTTCCTGTTGGGGATCTTTTCGTTCCATTTTCACAGGTGTGAGATGGAATCTCACTGTGGTTTTGACTTGCATTTCTCTTACTAGAAGTGAGGTGAACATTTTTCATATATCTTTTGGTCTTATGGATACTCTCGTGGGTGAAATGTCTGCTCATATCTGCTGCCAATTCATTAATTGGATTGTTGAATTGAGGGAGTTTTTAACATACCTTGGATATTAATTAATTCCTTAACAGTTATACATTGTATGACTATTTTCTCCTATTCAATAGGATGCCTTTTAATCATCTCATATTTTCTCTTACCGTAGAAAAGATTTTTAACTTGAGGTTATCCCAATTGTTTAATGCGTTTTGGGTTCCATGTTGTAGAGGTTAAGTCACCAAAATATCTTTATCATTGATATCATGGAACATTTCACCAGTGTTTTCTTCTATGTATTTTATTGCTGGAGGTCTTATATCTAAATCTTTAATCTACTTGGAATTTATTTGTGGGCATGATCCAGCTTCATTCTTTTGAGTGACTTTCCAGTTTTTCCAGCACCATTTGTTGAAGAGGCTATCCTTTCCCCATTTATGATCAAAACTGTTTCATCTTTTTACATTGGAGTTTTGTTATTTTCAGGTAACTACCTAATAAAGGTATTGCTACATCATTCAGAATTTCCTTTTTTTTTCTTTTTCTTAAAGATGTATTTATTGGGGTACAGGCCAGAGGTGTGGGGGTTTGAGAGGATTCACCAGCGATTCAATGGGGAGCATAACAGGCAGATTGACTGAAATACACTGCTGAGGGGAGCAGTGTGTCAGGAGAGGTCTGCTGTACCATATGGGTCACCTCCCTGGCTGGGGATTGACCTCAAACTGCAGTGGCTGCCGATAGCTTCACAGTCTAAGACTTATCCTGTTGCACTACCAGGGAGGCCCCTTTGTGATGGCTTCTTTTGAGGTACAAAAGCTTTTTACCTTGAAATTCCCATTTGTTTATTTTTGCTTTTATTTTCCTTGCCTTAGGATTTGAGCACCCAAAAGTATCTTTTGTAGTAGATGTCCTGTCGTATGTCACCTCTGTTGCCTTTCAAGTATTTTATAGTTTCAGTGATTATATCCAGTTCTTTAATCCATTTTGAATTAATTTTTGTATATGGAGTTAAGTGTGCATATGGTTTCACTTTTTTGCATGTGCTTTTCCATGTTTCTCAGCACCATTTATTAAAGAAAAGATCTTTTCTCCATTGTATGGTTTTAACAGCTTTGTCAAAAGTGAAAAGTCCATATTTGTGTGGGTTTATCTCTGGACTTTCTATTCTATTCCACAGGTCTGAGTTTATGTTTTTGTTCTAGTCCTGCACTGATTTGATTGCTGTGCTGTAGAATACAGACTGATGTCAGGAGTGTGATATCTCCTTTTTTTTTCTTTTCTCTCAACATGGCTTCAGTTGGGGTCTTTTATCATTCCATATCCATTTTGTATTTTCTGCTGACTTGAGAGAGTGACTGGGATCATCTTGTTCTTCCTTGAAGCATGATAAAACCAACAATTACTCTGCATGACCTTTGGTATCTAATGTCACTGTCAGCAAACATTAAATTGCATAAAAATTAGGTCAGGAACATGGACCAATGGAACCAAATAGAAAAGCCAGAAATAAACCCACAGATCTATGATCTACTAATTTTTGAAAAGGAACAAAGACTATGCTCTGGAGCAAGAAAATTTGTTCAATAGGTGGTGTTGGGAAAACTGGGTCACTACATGCAAAAGAATGAAGCTTGACTACTACCTCACACCATACACAAAAAACAGCTCAATATGGAATAAAGAACTAGACATAAGACCTGAAACCATGAAATATATAGAAGGAAATATAGGCGAAACACTACATGACATGCACCTCAAAGACAGCTTTACAGACACATCACCCAAAGCAGTGATAGTGAAGGCAAAGATAAACAGCTGGGACTACATCAAATTAAAGAGCTTCTGCACAGCAAAAGAGACAATAACCAAAACAAAGAGAAACTCAATCAACTGGGAGAAAATTTTTGCACCCAACACTAACAATAAAGGACTGATCACAAAAATCTACAAGAGCTATTGAGACTCAACAAAAACAAAGAAAATAACCCAGTTAAAAAAAGGGCAGAAGAGCTAAAAAGAAACTTCTCCAAAGAGGAAATACAAATGGCTACCAGGCGTATGAAAAAATGTTCAACTTCACTTGTAATCAGGGAAATGCAAATCAAACCTACAGTGAGATACCATCTCACACCAATGAGAATGGCACATATTAAAAAATACTAGCAACAACAAATGTTGGTGAGGATGTGGAGAGAAAGGAACTCTCCTGCACTGTTGGTGGGAGTGCAAACTGGTCCAACCACTATGGAGAGGTGTGTGGAGATTTCTTGACCTACTAAACATAGAGCTTCCATAGGATCCAGCAATTCCACTCCTAGGTATTTACCCAAAGGACACAGAAACATCAATTCCAAAGAGCACCTGCACCCCTATGTTTATAGCAGCACAATTTACAATAGCTAAGCTTTGGAAACAACCCAAATGCCCAAAAATAGATGACTGGATCAAGATGATATGTTACATATACACAATGGAATATTACTCAGCATTCAAAAAAGATAAATATGCAATTAGCAGCAACATGGACGGAGCTGGAAGGGATCATGCTCAGTGAAATAAGCCAGAAAGGAAAAAAAAAAAAATACCAGATGGTTTCATTCATAACAGGAATCTAGAAAACCTAAATAAGGAACCACGAAAAAGAATAACTATAAGAAAGAAAAAAATCAAAACAGGGGGTTGCAATTGCATAGGGAATATAAAAATAAAAATAAATAAATTAAAAAAAATTAGGTAGGACCTCCCTAGTGGCGCAGCGGTTGAGTGCTGGGTTGCAAAGCTGCCTGCGGCCTCTTCAGCACCAGTTCAATGCCCGGCTGCTCCCGGGCCACCAAAGGAGGGTCCCACACGGCGCTCAGACCTCTCCTGCCGCCGCTGCTCCCCTCAGCAGTGTACTTCAGTCCCTCTGCCTGCTCTGTTCCCCGCTCTGGCTCTGATGAATTCTGTCACCCCCTGCATTTCTGATTGTATCCAGTGCTTGAATAAATAAATAAAAATTTAAAAAATTAGGTCATGATAGCATTTAAATATACAAATTATTCTTTATTTGCCAAAGTTAATTTTTCCAGTTGATTACACACACACACACACAAACACACACACACTCACCTAAAAGTAGATAACAGAAATAGAGAAAAAAAGAAGACTTTAGATCTATTGCCCAGAGGCAACCAATTTTAATATTTAAAACATTGTGTTCTATTAAGATTTGGCCACTTTTATCTAAATTTGTATCATATGGTATACACATAGATTTCCTGTACTGATTTCAATGTCTTTGTGATTACAGAAACAATAAATGCCACAATGACTATAATCAGATAAGGCAAATAACCAGTGTTCAAGAGGATGTGGAGTAACTGTCACCTCCTTCAGTGCTGGTGAGAATGGAAGAAGTCATTTGAATAACAGGAACTTAAAAAGTTCAACAAACACCTTCCATATAAACCAGCCATTCCACTTCTGCTATTTACCCAAGAGATAAAGCAACAAACAGCATAAAATTCTTATCAAAACTTGTGCACTGATGTTCCTAATAACATTATTCAAAATAGTTTAAAAGTGAAAATGGTTCAAGTTTCCATCAACTGGTAAAAAATAAACACATAAACACAATGGGGTTTATCAACACAAAACAGAATGCCATTCATCACTTAAAGAATAATGAACTACAGATAGTGCTATAAAGTGATGACCTTCCAAATCATTACGTCTAGTAAAAGAAGCAACATCTCCGTATTGCTTCATTGTTTGTATGTGAAATATCTGGAAGAGGCCTTCCAACACGGAAAGAATGTAGATTAGTGATTCCCTGGGATTCAAGTGGAAAAAGAGAAGAAACTTTTGAGGGTGATGTAAGTAATCTAAAAATGTGATGGATGCCTATCTGTATATTTATTAAAAAAACATTGTATTATACATGAAAAATGAAAACGTTTTGGGCATGGAAAGATCTCAATAAAATTGTTTTTAAAGTAATAGAATAACATTCTCTATTAAAAGTTCCTTTTCATTTCCAAGTAGG